CCCAGCAGCAATTTCTGCTTCTGGTTCCCTAGTTTTGTTCATGATACTCCAAGCATTTATATACATATAATTTAACTCTGCCTTTATGTCTATCTTCCCTTCAGGAAGCAACTATTTCTTTGTTCACTGTCAACACTCAGACTTCCTTCACCTCCTTCTCCCCATTACCCATCTTCTCTCTTTTGCCCTCACTTGTAGTTCCAAACCTAGTCACATTAGTCAACCCTCCGCTTACCTTACAAGGTTAAATCAATCCCCACAACACTACTTAAACTCTCATCCAGGAGGTTAGTTCCACATTGGCTCAGGCAAAGCTCATCTCTTCTGAGCAGCTTTCTCCTTTCCCAAAAGGTCCAATGTCCCAAAAATTTAAACTCCTCCCCTCTATACCATTCCTGAAGCTAAAATGGTGAAGCTTGTGGCACAAGTAGAATTTCTGTGATTAATATCCTGGAGGTCCTGTCTTTCAACACACTCCTAACTCTCCCTTGTACTATATGCCACTATCAATAAATCCTAGGATACTATATGCTTTATTAACCACTTTCTCCACCTGTTCTACCACCTTTAATAAATTATGTACATATGCACCCAGATCTCTCTGCACCTCCTTTACAAAGTCTCTCTGTGTCCTTTGTACAAAATATATCATCTCACAATTCTCCGCACTGACCTTCATCTGCCATCTATCACCACACTTCACTAACATGTCATTGTCCTGTTGAAGTTCTGCACTCCTCATAATATATAACAGTTCCAAGTTATCATTCACAAACTTTGAAATTCTCACCCTCACTCCAAGATCTGGACCATCTTTGAGAGAGCACTGAATGATGTTTTGGTTGGTTTACCTTGCCCCCTCAGGCAAACATAGTTTGACTGTGCCTAAACTATCTTCTCTTCAAGGACACCCAATTGTTTGTTACAGTTTTGTCAGCCACATTTCATATCAATTTAGCAGGGACAGCACCATTCTCGTACCACTAACATTGGTCCACCTCAAATTACTTATTTTCACTCAAATTACTTTCTTTCTCCAGACATAATCTGAATTTTATGATATTATGATTACTGTGCCCTAAATGCTTCCTCATTGACACATAATCGACATGACCAACTCATTTTCCAATATCAGAACCAACAATGCCTCCACCATTGTTGTTGAGTCACCCCTTGTCACAACTCTACATTCCATGCATTTTCCTGTGGAGTCTCCCATCAAATGTGCTCCTATTATTTATCCCATTGTTTGGTTGCCTATGGAATATACCTAGTAGTTTAAATGCCATCTGTTTAAAAATAAATCTCGGGAGATGGAACAAAAACAAAGTTGCTGGAAAAGCTCAGCAGGTCTGGCAGCATCTGTGGAGGAGAAAACAGAGTTAACTTTTCAGATCCGGTCACGCTTCCTCAGAACTCTTCCTCAGACCCTTCCTCGGGAGATGGTCATTGCTGGTAAGGCCAGCATTTATTTCTGATTCCTAAATACCCTGGAGAAAGTGGCACTGGCCTGCCTTCTTGAACAATTGCAATGAAGGCATGCACACTGCTGTTAGGAAGGAAGTTGCAGAAGGCAGAGGTTGTAGATTTGAAAAGCCTTGGTGAGTTGTTGACTCCATTGTGTAGATTGGTCATCAACACTGTGTGTCGGTGGCGAGTAAGTAAAGGTGGTGAACTGGGTGCCAAGAAAATGGGATGCTTTATCCTGGATGGTATCAAACTTTTTTCATGTACCTAGGTAAATAGAGAGTGTTTCATCACACATGTGACTTAGTTTTCGGCCCCTCATCTAAGGAAAGATATACTGGCAATGGAGGCAGTCCAGGGAAGGTTCACTAGGCTAACACCAGGCATGAACTGTCTAATGAAGACAAATTGAGTATATTGGGCCTGTACTCATCGGAGTTTTGAAGAATGAGTGGAGACCTTATTGAAACATACAAGATTCTCAAAGGATTTCTAAGGGTAGATGTGGGATGACTGTTTTTCCTCGTGGGAGACTGAGAACCAGAGGGCATATTCTCAGAATAAGGAGGCACGTATTTAAGACAGGAATGATTTCTTCTCACGGGGGGTTGTGAATCTGTCGAAATTTTTACCACAGAGGGCTACTGAGACTGGATATTAAGTAGATTCAAGCTGTGATAGGCAGATTTTTAATCAAGGGAATCAAGGGTCATGGGGAAAAGGCAGAACAGTGGGGTTGAGGACTATTAGATCATCTTATTGTATGCAGAGCCAATTCAATGTACTTCTACTCTATATGGTCTTATGGACACATGCTTTGTCAATAGTGAACAGGCAGTGGGGAGACAGGAAACGAGATACTCCTTGCAGAATTCCTAGTCTCTGACCTGCTCTTGAACCATAATATTTTAATGGTTTTGTCCAGTTCAATTTCTGGTCAATGAGTATGCCCCAGTTATTGTTAGTGGGGGATTCTGCAACTGTAATGCCATTGAACATCAACAATCGATGGTTAGATTCTCTCTTGTTGGAAATAGTTTTTGAAAAGCACTTGTGTGGCGAGAATGTTACTTGCCACATCAACCCTGTCTATCTTCTCTCACCTAATCTCTGGAGTTCAGCTCTTTTGTATGTGGTTGGATCAAAGTAATGAGGTCAGCAGCCAAGTAGCCCTGGCAGCACATGAACTAAGTGTCACTGAGCTGCTTACTGCTGAATAAATGCTGCTTGATAGCATCAATGACAAGTTTCATGATTTTGCTGATGATCCAGAATAAACTAATGGGGTGGTAATTGGATTGGTTGGAGTTGTCCTGCTTTTTGTGGACTGCACATAGCTGGGCAATTGTTCTTTTGTTTAGTAGATGCCAGTATTGTGGCTGTACTGAACAACTTGACCAGGCGTAAGACTAGTACCTAAGCACAGGTCTTGTATTCTATTGCTGGAATACCTTTAGAGGCCACAGCTTTTGCAGTATCCAATGCCTTCAAATATTTCTGAGTGTCACATGGAGTAAATCCAACTTGTTGAAGACTGGCATCCAAAATTCTGGGACCTCCGGAGGGAGCCGAGATGGATCAACTACTTGGCAGTTCTGACTGAAGTTGGTTACAAATTTTTTTGCAGTCATATTGCCCCGTTCTGAAGAAGGGTCACTGGACCTGAAACATTAACTCTGCTTCCTCTCCAGAGATGCTGCCAGACCTGCTGGGATTTTCATGCAATTTCTGATTTTGTTTCTGATTTCCAGCATCTGCAATTCTTTGGGGTTTTTGTTTTGCAGTGATGTGCTGGGCTCGTCCATTATTAAGGGATACTTGTGGAACCGTCACCTATTGTTAATTGTTTAATGCTCACTATCAGTCAGAAATGGATCTGGCAGAATTCCAGAGCTTCACCCTAATCTAGTGGTTGGGATCATTGAGTTTGGTTAGCTCTGGTTGTTAGGTATGTCTTTTGCTGTTTAATTGGAACAAAACTGATTGTTTGGCTTAATTGTAATGGTAGACTGTTGGGTTAAATGAACATCATTAATTACAAATCTGCTGCTGGTGAGGTTCCATAGCACTTCAAGGATATTCAGTTTTTATTTGCTGGATCTATCCTATTTATTATCATGGTACAGAGGATGGTACTGTCCTTCATCTCCACATGGATTGTGCAGTGGCCACTCTGACCAACACTGTCACGGACAGATGCATCTGTGACATCCTGGTGAGGTTGAGGTCAAGTAGGCTTTTGCCTTTTGTTGGTTCTCACATCATCTACTGTAAGTTCAGATCAGCAGCTATGTCTTTCAAGGCTTGGTCAATTCAGTAATTAGTGGGACTACTAAGCCACTTTTGGTGATGGACATTGACGTCCTCCAGCCAGAGTAGATTCTGTGTTCTAGCCACCATCAGTGCTTCTTCTAACTGGTGTTCAACACGGAGAAGTACGGATTCATCAACTCAGTGGTTAATCCTGATGTCATGAAATTTTATGGAATCCAGACTCATTGTTGGGGACTCTCTCCTAATATCACTGTGTCACAATCTGTCTTGCTGGTGAGACAGCACATGCCCAGGTAGGGTGGTGGTGGTCTCTGGAACATTGTAAGGTATGATTGAGTGAGTATGACATGTCAGGTTGTTGCCTGACTATGTGTTAGACAGCTCCATCAATTTTGGCACAAGTCCACAGATGTCAGTTAGATGGATTTGGCAGTGGTGACATGACTGGGTGTGTTGTCATTGTTGTTGCTTTTGGCACCTACATGGATGCTAAGTAAGTTTGGTTCTCTTCCTTTTTGATTTTGTAGTTGTTTAGAACAACTCAAAGGCTTGTGAAATCTTTTCAATAGTCATTTAAGCTTCAACCCTTTGCTGTGAATCTGGAGTTACATGGAACTAAGGCCATTAGTGAACCAGACAATTATCAGTGTTGATTCATGGTCACTATTACAGGTATTAATTTAAATTATTAATTAATTGAATTTAAATTCCGTCAGCTGTCAAGATGGGAAGTGAATCTTGGACCTCCGGATTGCTAGTCCAGTGACACTACCACTATACTATTGACGCCACCTGTGCAGCTTATTCATCTTTTTTAATAATCAATCCTGGTTAGACTTCCCCTGGACAGAATGAAGCAATTTTTAATTGGGAGTAGGTTTTCCCTCCAAAAATTGTAGTCTGCAGTTTTATCATTCATTTTTTTTATCCCAGACAAAATGCAAAATATTCCATATTGGCACAATGAATAAATTGATATAGAAAATGTTCATTTTTGAAGAGAAGTGATCAAAATAGGGAGTCTTGTGTTTTACAATTGGCTTTGTCAAGATTTGCAAGAGATCAGGAATTTACAGTAAAAGAAAATAACTGAAAACTAAGAATGAGATGTTTTTCCACTGGTGGCTGGAGTGTGGCAGTTAATTAACATGAAAGCAATAAACAAGGGAAACTAAAAGATCATATTCCACAAAGCAGGCAAAGCACATCCTTAAGATTAGAGTTGCTAAATATATTGGTTTCTACGTACATAAACTAACCTTCAAGTTTGGAGTCTGTGTCTGATCAACAGTGAACCTCATTAAAATACTGAACTGCAGGTCATTTGGGAAAGACTCCCTGCAAATAAATATTTAAAAGTATAGTTAGCTCATTCACTTTTATTCAACTTTATGCTGTCTAAGTGCTCATTCATATTGCACCACTTCTCTTAAAATTGTCTTTTTTTTTTTAAGGAGGTCATTGAAAATATAACTAACAGTTTCTGTGGCTGCTGTGCATTTGCCTACAAACTATATTCCTGCATTAAAAGGCAGGATTTTGACATTTCTAAAGAATTTCTCAACCTTTTCAGTGTGACATTGTGTTGCCTGACAAGCAACTGTGAGCTAACAATCATTCCACATTCCAGTTAGGATAGTGCTGGTACTGAGCTGCCATTTGAAACTAAGTGATTCATGTTACAAAGCTGTTTGTCTTGCACTCATCAGGCAAATCAGCCAAATTTCTGTCTCAACAATTTTTACTAAAGGAGAAAAGGCAATGATTGGTTCGTAAGTCTGAATGGTCCAGCTGTTAACACAGAAAAGGTAATGGGAAATTATAAGCGCCTCATTCTTCTGGGTAATTAAGGAAACGTGCAAGGCTAGAGCATATTCTTTCTTCCGGAAAACTATTGTCACTTCCAGCAAGTGTCAATCAGCCACGTGACAAGCTTAGCTAATTTTCTTAAACTGGTTATACATGTAGCTGTTAACACTCTCAGGATAGAATGCTTCCCAACTACAGAATCACACTGAGCCACAAATGTGTTGCTTTGAGTTTTGCAAGCAAGGTCTGGTTGAGCAAGCCTACACGGATCTCTGCAAACAAAAATTATATGCTCAACCCTTGTGCTTTTATTGAATTACCTGGCAACATGGGAGCCTATCATTCATGACTGATGAGTGCGAGATAAAAAACTTCAATAACAATCTTTCAGCAATATTCCAAGTTTGAATTACCATGCATCAAACTGATAATAATTCAACTTGAAAAAATAAGGCCTTAACTGCTACTATGAAACTTCTAGATGACGGATCAGATACATTGCTGATGGGGAAGGCTGGAATTTCAGCAACAGCACAACTGACCTTCTCTATCATCATTTAACCCAATGTCAAAGTGACAGTTTGAATTGCTAAACTAATCACCATCATGTGCTCCAAATGAGACTAGCAGTTTTTGACAACTTCAGGCTAGTTTTAAACTGGAAGCTTCATTTTTATATTTAAATTAAAATAAGAGTGCAATCGGAGAAGAGTGGGATGTGGGGGGAACAGGGCTGCAGTGCCATATTTTCCCTTCCAGGAACATTTTGTTTTCCCCCCTTTTTTATTTTTCATTATTGTCACATAGGCTCTAGTAGGCAATATTGCACTTAGTTATTGGGTGATTGTTAATTTGGTGATGGGTTTCTTTCAATTAAAAAAAAGACCAAAGTTCTTTGCTTTGGAGGGGGTCATAATTCCAGAATGCCTGACTTTCTTCCACGGTTATGTCCACGTGCTAGTGTCCTTAGAAAGGGAGCCCATAGTATTCACCAATACCATTTTGATTTAGTTTCCTCCTTTGTTTTTTTCAGTTTTTAATTTTTGCATCTTGTTACACCGCTGCTAGACAGCAGTTTTTGTTATTTGATAGGATTTTGGAATATAAAACACCTGTACCTGAATGATGAATGCATGTTGCACACACTACTGGGGATTAGGCCTCACTCTGAGTGAGCTTTACAGAGCTGCTCGTGAATCTTAAAATTAGGCTGCTGCAACATTCACAGTCAGAAAGTAGACCAATCAGGTTGAGATGAATGAGTAATTGGGTTCGAAAGTATCAGGCTTGCTAGCTCCACATTTTATTAAGTCTACATTTAAAACTTACACTGTTGGTTATTGCTCCTTTTTCCCCGAGTCCAGATGAAACGGGCTGGCTTGAGATAAACCAATTTTGTAGCAGTATCTCACACAACCATTGGAACCACCAGCCTGTTTTGGACATCAGGACTTAACTGTTGATAGTTTTTTGTCCTTAACCAAGGTAGCAGCACACTTTGGCTTGTAAAGCCTATGAACCTCCTACTCACCATTTTGAGGTTATGGAGGCCATTTGATGCCCAAAAATACGTGTCATGTGGATGAATTTCTAATCCTTTGTTAGACTTCCTATTCTAGATAATGTCTTTCAAACATAACAATCAATTTTTTCTCCATATAAATGCTTTAATTCGATGTCAGCAAACTCCTAGCCCTTATAAGCATTTCATTATGGCCATCAGATGGAATGATCAGTTGGTGTTTTCTGCTTAATTGTGTGCAAGACCCCATCATGGACTAAAATGCAGGGTAGATATTGTTGGCATGAATTAGCCCAGACTAACGTAGAAATGACAAGCAAATGCAAATATAGAGACAAATAACAAATCAGAAACAGCACAAGGTCAGGAAGAGAATCGAAGTGCAAGCTGAATCAATCTCAAGCATTTTTAAAAATAAGGAAAACCAGGTAGACAAGAGATATCAGAGATAGTATGAACTGCCGATGCTGGAGTCAGAGATAACACAGTATGGAGCTGGAGGAACACAGCAAGCCAGGCAGCATCAGAGGAACAGGAAAGCTGATGTTTCTGGTTGGGAAGGGTCCCGACCCGAAATGTCAGCTTTCCTGTTCCTCTGATGCTGCCTGACCTGCTGTGTTCCTCCAGCTAGACAAGAAATGTAAGTTTTTGCTTTTGGTGCCACTATAAGATTTGAATATGCATCAAAAACACTTATAAATTACTTTGTACACACTTGCACAGTTCGGTCCATTGGTGATTATGTCTTCCTCAAACAGAATTTTCTCACTGATTCA